TTGGGGGTCGGAGGGAGGTTCCTGAGAAGTCAGCTGTGTCGTGAGAGCTTTGATCTGGAAAGGAGCCAAGAGACAATGGAGCTGGGGCAGTTGCAGAGGGAAGTGGGCAGGGCTGGCCCCAGAGGTGTGGGAGGGTAAGCCAAGGTGTGGGACTGGTCGGAGAGAGAGGAGAGGGAGGCTGGCCGTGGTGGGACGAGGAAGAAGGAGGACATTCTGAGCCGGAGGTCACCCGGGTGTTGCCAGGGCTAGTAGTATTCAGGAAGCCCGGATATCTGGTCCTGCAGAGCACAGGAGATCCATGACTGCCCAGAGGGGACACACAGAGGGCCACAGCTCTGCAACAACAACTGCCCCAGGAGTCTGAATGCAGGGCCAGGAACTCTGCTCAGCACCTTGCTAGGAATACCTGGATTTAAGGTCCTGTCCAAGTCTCGGGTGAGCCTTAAATTCATGAATTCACCCATGCATTCAACGGCTGGCCACTGTGCACGGTCCCCACCTCACCAGGCTCATCCACCCAAGGAAAGAGACACGAGCCCCAATAAACATGTCCAAGACATCCCACGGGTGACAAGAGATGAGGGAAAGCCATGAGGAGTGAGAGGACCAAAGGGAGAGCAGGATGGTTTTATTTAGATGGAGCAGGGGATTTTTTTTTTTAATTTGATCTTTCCCCATATTTTTTTGATAATGCATTAGAGTTGTACATGATGGTGGACCTTGTTGTCACATATTTGTACATGCACACAACATGACAATATAATTCGGCCAATAACATTCCCCAGTATTTCTCTTTCTCCTTCCTCTGCACCACTGAGCTCCCTTTGATTTTTATGGCACACACACACACACACACACACACACACCCCTTTCTTTTCCTTTTTGGAAGAGGGGACTTCTGAGGACATCTTGGAGTAAGTGAGGGTATCAGTGTTGGGGTGAGGCTTTGGGGAAAATGTGCACAGGCCTCAGTGGGTGTGGGGCTGGGGAGTAGGAGCAGAAGGGGAGGCCTATGGGTCCTGAACCCCGGGGCCAAGGGAGAGAAGATAGATGTGAACCAGAGGGTCAGGTGGTTCTGATGCCAGAGGGTCAGAAGGGCTGATCATGTTGGAGTTGGCACAGCAGCAGGAAGTGGCCTGGCCTGCAGCCTGATCCCCACAGTAGGGGATAGGGGAATGGACAGGCTTTGGCCCTACACCTTACAACAGGAAAGGTCAAGCAGGCAGGCCGTGTGGACTCCTGAACTTTCACCATGGTCCTGCTCGGGTTGGGCTAGCTGCAGAGGAGTGACTTACACGCCCAAGCAAGCGGCTCCAAGCTGACCTCCGAAGTCCCCTCCTCCAGTGTATTGCTGACTGAACACAAAAGCCAGGGTAGCTGGGTGCCAAGGCATATGCCTGTAATCCTAGTGGCTCAGGAGGCTGAGGCAGAAGGATCGCAGGTTCAAGGCCAGCCTCAGCAACTTAGGCCCTAAGCAATTGAGCAAGATCCTGCCTCAAAATAAAAATTTAAAAAATAGGGGCTAGGGTTGTGGCTCAGCGGTAGACTGCCTGCCTAGCATGTGCGAGGCCCTGCGTTCGATCCTCAGCACCACATAAAAATAAATAAATAAATAGAATAAAGGTAAAAAAAAAATTTTTTTTTAAATAAAAAGGGCTGGGCGTGTGACTCAGTGGGTTCAATCCCTAGTATCCCCAGAAAAACCAGGGGCAGCTAAGGAGCTGGGCAGGACCCTGCCACAGGCAAGTCCCCTACCACAGGCCTCATTTCCCCCTTTATGGAAAAGACTGGGGGCAGGTGGAGGGGACAGGGAAGACCAGCAGCCCAATAAGCTCTGGAGGCTGGCTGCTCTTGCTGGCATGGCCACAGGCAAGCCCCCTGGCCTGGGGGTGGGGAGTAGGGGTAACTGAAAGAAGGGCAAGGGAGCAAGGATGTCAAGAGCCAGAAGGGTCCCCAATGCCATCCTCTCCCCAGGGCTCATCAAGCAATAAGTAGTCAGGGGTGGTGAACAGAGCAGGTCTGAGCCAAACTGCGACCCTGGCCTGGTCTCTCCCACCCCAGGTGCCCACGTCTGAGAGAAGGGATGGTGTATAGCAGACATGGGCACCGAATATCTGTGTCTTGCAGATGACGTTGGCTGTGTGGTGCCGTCCGAGTGCCTGCGGGCCTGTGGGGTTGAGATCGGCTGCTCCAACATCGCCTATCCCAAGCTGGTCATGGAGCTGATGCCCATAGGTGAGGCTGGGTGGGGTTGGGAGGTCTGAGCAGAGCTGGAGTGGGGATGGAACCTCAGGCCCCATGAGGGCGAAGGGCGCTGGGGGGCGGTGGAGGTCACCCTGGATTCAGTGTGACATCGAGTGGGAGGCCCTTCTTCTAGAGAGAAGTAACCATGAACCAAAACGTTGGTACCTGGGTGTCAGGCCTGTCCACGCTTCCCATGGGGTGAACTCACTTCCTCTTCTAGACCCCCTCAGTACCATTAGTAGCAGCGCCATTTTAAAGATGGAGAAATTCTTGCCAAAGTGGCACACGCCTGTAATCCCAGTGGCTCGGGAGGCTGAGGCAGAAGGATTAAAAGTTCAAGAACAGCCTCAGTAATTTAGCGAGGCCCTAAGCAACTTAGGGAAACCCTGTCTCAAAAAAAGAGCTGGGTGTAGCTCATTTAGTTGGTTGAGCACACCTGGGTTCAACCCCAAGTACGACTGAATAAATAACGATAAATTGAGATCCATAGAGGTGCAGTGACCTTGCAAGGTCACATGGCAAGTAGGCCACCAGCCTAGAATTTGAACCTGGTTCATCTTCCCCTAGAGCTAGTCCCTCTGACCCATACTGTACTCTCTCTCTCTCTCTCTCTTATGTTCTGATACCAAGCTCTTTTACCCACCCATGTAATACTAGTTACTGGCTCCATTTTACACATGGGGAAACTGAGGCACGGAGAGTGGTAAGTGACTTCTTGGAGGTTACAGAGTAACTGAGACACAAACCCAGGTCCTCTGCTTTTTTTTGCCAAGATTAGAAATTCAGACTCCCCAGTCCCTCTGTATCTGCAAGCCTAAGCCCCATCCTCTGCCTTCCCCAGGATCCTGCAGGCCCCTGGGTAGAAACATGGGCAGGTCTGGCTGTTTCCACCTTTCTCCGGGTGGCAGCAACCCTGCTGGTCCGATGTGGAGTACTGAGTTCCTTGTCACTGGAGGTGTGCAAGCCAAAGCAACTGAGCAATGGCTGTGTGAGGTTCCAGCTGAAGCAAAGAGGAGAGTCAGCTTTCTGAGCGGCCCGAGCCTCTCCTCTGGATGATCAGGTCCTCGGCTCCTGCCTCCAGAGGCTTCCTGGTCTTCCAGTCAGGCCCACCCCTGCTCCTCCCTTCCTCCAGCAGAGTCCAGGCCCAGGGGACAGCAATGCACAGGCCTGGGAACAGATAGTGGCCCTGCTACTTGCTGGCTGAAATATTTAGGGCATGCCACTTGCCTGCTTGGAGACTCCGTGTCCTCATTTGTAAATTGCAGATAATGACATCTACCCACCCCTCAGCTTTGTTGCTGGGATTAAACATAATAACCCAGGGAAGCTGCCCGGCCTAAGACCTGTGGCCACTCTGTGGGTTCCCACCTCTGGGCTTCACCTGCCCCATCCACTCTGGGGAGGGGGACCCACTAAGTCCCTAGTGCAACACCCAACACTCCTCTCTAGTCCTTGAGCTCTCTGAGAAGTCGAATAAGTCCCAAGTTTATCTACCTCCCTGAGCAAGATGAGGAGGGTTGAGAAATGTTTTGGGGAGAAAAACCATAATTTAACTAACTTTCCTATGAGCTCCATCCCAGTCAGTAAACAGAAAGGCTTGTGGGATGTCTGGAGTCACACAGCAAGTCAGATGCATAGTCAAGACCAGACATACCAGGCAGGCTAAATAAATGGCACCCGTAAGGCTGAGCCCTCAGGGGAGGGGTCCCCTGTCAGACCCATCTTTGGGCAAGAGGTAGAACTGCAGGAGTTTTTGGAGACAGACCTGGAGCAAAGCCCTGAGGTGGATGGAAGAGCAGCCTGAAGCCACACAGCAAATGAGTTCACAGTCAAGTGCCTCTTCCCCTATTTAAGACCTTTCTTGAGCCTCTTACTCCCAGAAGCCTTTGCCAGAAGACCTCCCTGGCTTTGCTAGGGAACTTCTTCACCCCTTGCCTGACAATAATAGCATGTCTTTCTCCTGCTTCTGGGAATCTTCCTCTGTTTCCCACAGAGCCAACCAGAGGGGACTCACCATGCCTGCTGGGGCCTGCCACACACACACACACACACACACACACAGGAAGTGGCAGGAAATTCCAGAGCCTGGGCCACCGTGCATGGGGAAGAGGCGTGTGCCCTGCCCAGGGTGTGACCTCCCACCCAAGGATCCCACCCCAAGCCTTCTTCACCACCCCCACCCCGCCCCCAGGTTCTGCCTCTGGCCCCCGCTGTGAATCCCTGGGAGACTCTGTTCCCTTCCCTGAGCTTCCATTTCCTCATCTGTCCAACGGGGCTAATGATCTTGCCCCGGGATGAAGTCATGGGTGTGAAAGTGCCTCGTCAGCTCACAGACTGCAGAAATGAGAGGCTGGTAATAACACCCACGGTCGGGGAGTACGCAGTCAGGGCCTGAGTGGCCAGCAAGCTGCGAGCTCAGGCAGTGACTGCAGAAGTCCTTCTAGCTCAGCATTGGTTGGCCTCCCCCCGGGGCCTCCTATTTTGGGGGGGGTCTCACGGTGTGGACCCCACAACACCAGCGGGGCATGACCACTTATTTGGCTTTCCTTTGAGCCAGCCTCTCTGGCCCCACTGTTCCTCTGCACCCCTCTGGCTCCATTGTTCCTGTCCCTCCAGTGAAGAGAGAGGGTCCTTGGGATGCCAAGGAGTTCCACAGCAAACCCCTCCGCAGAACCCAGGGCCCAGGCAGGAGGGCCTCTGAGGACCAGGGCCAGGGCCAGGCGGGGTTCCCAGTGAGTCTCCATCCCTGTGTCCAGGTCTGCGAGGGCTGATGATTGCAGTGATGATGGCCGCCCTCATGTCATCGCTGACCTCCATCTTCAACAGCAGCAGCACTCTCTTCACCATGGACATCTGGAAGCGGCTGCGGCCCTGGGCTAGCGAGCGGGAGCTGCTGATGGTGGGAAGGTACGGGTGGTGGGGTGCCAGGGAGCCAGGAGACAGCGGAATCGTGCAGCCACATGACCAGCTCACGAGCCCCCCGCCCCCTCAGAGGAGGACTTTGAGGGATGTGTAGGAGTTTGCCTGGTGGAGGAAAGAGAAGGCTGGGAGGGAGGGGAGAAAAGAGGAGGATATCGTATCCATCCCACCTCCCATGTGGCTCTTCTGTCCAGCCCCTCAGGGTCACGGCTCTCATCCGGGATGCACCTCTCACCCTATCTGCTGGGGTGAACTACCTCCCCCAACCATACTAGAGGTCTCTCTGTCTCCCCCAAAATGTGGGCCCCTACCCCTCCTGATGGTTTTTGGCTGCCTCATAGAGGGTCCCTGATCTAGCACTCAGGACGCCCATACTCAAGCCACAGGGGTCCCCTGGCCTCCATACCCCAGCCCCACTGAGCTCTGACCATTTCCACTAGCCCTGCTCGTCCTCTCCTCCTTCACCTCAACGACTCAGCTTGATTTTTCTAGATTCAGCCCAAGTACCCCCTCCTCCACGGAGCCCACTCTGATATCCCCATCCAAGGAACGAGCCCTCTTCCCATTCCCGCAGATTCTTCCCACAGCACATGGGGTCTTTCTAAGACCAAATGATCTTCCCAAACCTCCTTCCCGTGGGGGCGCTGGGTGTTCTGTGAGGACAGGCTCAGTGTCTGGCCCATCCCCATATCCCCATGCCCAGCTGGGTCCTTGGAAATCCTGTAGGGAGGTACTTGGTCTTGGGTTAGGGGTCTCTAAGGGTGCACGCCTGCCTGTCTGGACCCTCTCCACCCCTCTGGCCCCATTGTTCCTGTCCCTCCAAGCCTGCGAACCCGACCTGCTAGCAGGGGTGGGGGGGCATCCTTCGGGCACTACCCTTGTCAACAGAGCAGCCTCTATCCAGGAGCTCAGGGTGCCTGTCCCTGGGGTGGGATCTTCCCCAGAGCTTCAGGCGGTTGTCCCAGTGATGCAAAACAGACGGGCTTCTGTCAGAAGGGCCTGCTGGGACCTGTCAGAAGGCGGGCGAGTGTGAGCGCGCTCCTCTGCAGACAGGCAGACTCTCTTCTCCCTGGTGCAGGGTCCTCCGTGTCCCTTCATCCTGGGCACCAGCCCCCTGCCTGCCTCTCCCCTTCTGGGTCCCCTGTTCCTCCTGTGGTTCTTCAGCTGCTATGTGGCCCAGGATGGTCCTGTCCCTGCTGAGCCTGAAGCCAGAGTCCCAACCTGGTCCCTGATTGTGTCGGCTCACTCCCTCCAACCATGCCTTGGCCTTCCTTCCCATCTCTTCCTGCCCCCCTACAGAACCTCCGTTCTTTCCCTGCCCTCCCCTTCTGTCCCCTTCCTGGGATCCTGTGGCCAGCTGGGCACTGTGGAGGACTCCAAGAGCTCAGCTCCCACCCCCTGCCTTGAAGACCTTCCCTGTGACCGAGGCAGCATCCCCCAGGGAGTGTGATGGAGGGACCCATTCCTCCTGACGATGGGATGGGTAGGGAGAATCCCATGTGGAGCCCAGGAGGGTTTTCTAAGGAGAAGTGGGAGAGAGGCATTCCAGCCTCTGGGTTTGGGGGTCCCGCTGGCTCATGCTGGTGGCTGAATCAGAAAGGAAACTCTGGAGGGCAAGAGAAAGGGGAGGGCCCAGGCCCAGCCCGTTGGCTGCAGAGGCCTAGGGCCCTCAGCTGCTGAGCCTTGTGTGAGAGGGTGGGGCGGCCGTGTTAATGGATGTCCGCCTGGGCCTTTGAAGAAGGTAGCACCTGCCGCTGCCAGGGTAAGGGTTAATTAGCCTTAATCAAGATGGCACCTCCTTCCTCCACCCTCTCCCTCGGGCTTAGAAGGGGAAAAAAGGAAGTCAGGCAGGTAGGCCAAGAGCCACAGAGAAGGAGCATCCCGGCTGCACACACAGCCCCTGACACCCTGCTGCCCTGCTGGGGAATCCAACAGGTCCCACCACCTCCCACCTTGTGTGCCGACTGGCTCAGGACATAGGGTTGAGGGGTGCTCTGCCAGGAAGGAGCAGGTGGGACGCAGCGCCTCTGCTTGTCTCCTTAGCGGGTCCCACACCCCTTCAAGGCTCTGGGCACGCCCCTCTTGGAAGCCCTCCTGGATTACAGCTTCCGCTGGGTTGCATCGTTGATTGTTTTCTCTGCTGGTCTGAGCACTGGGCCAAAGCCAGGCACCGTTCCCTGCTGAGTCAGGGCTTCTGGTGAGGTGCTGTGCTCCCAAGCGTTTTGTCCAGGGAAGGAATGAAGCCTGGCAGTGAAGGGGTGCTTGGACAAACAGGGAGAGTGGCTGCCACCAGGGAGGGGACAGGGCTCCCACGGGCCAGTCAAAAGGACTTAAGCTTCAAATCTGAGGAGTCCAGGCTCCAGCCCCAGCCCCAGCCCAGGCCGCCTGGCTTCAACCCTTACTTCCTAGGATGGAAATTGTCCTACGGTGTGTGGGGGTCTGTCGCATAGAGCTGCAGGGGGTGAGGAATATGCTGGAAGGCTGGGCTTCTGCAAAGGCCAGGCAGCTGGAGAGAACATGCTGTGTTCAGGAACCACCATGAGGTCAGTCTGGCCCCATGGTGAGGGGAGCAGCTCATTCCTGCAATCCCCAAATATTTAGTCACGAAAAAAAGAGAAGGGCCTCCTGCCCTCCTGGAGCTTCCAGTCGAGACACAAGGGGTTACCCAGGTTGATGTGCACATGAAGGTGGAACAGGTGCTTTGTGGGAGTCCTCCAGGCACAAGGGAGCCCTAAGGACTGACTCAGCAGAGACCCCCCAGGGGAAGGAGGAGGCAGCACTGAGACCCAGGGACTGGACCTACAGGTGCAGGAAGCCCTAGAAGGGTGGGGAACAAACCCTGTTCCTGGTAGAACAGGCCAGCGGCCAGGAGCTGGGCCTCAGGGCACAGATGGAAGAGTCTTAGTGACCAGAGGCAGATGGAGGGGCTAAGGAAGTGTATCCAGAGCCACCTGTTGCTGCCCGCAGGCTGGTCATCGTGGTGCTAATTGGTGTGAGCGTGGCCTGGATTCCCATCCTTCAGGGTTCCAACAGCGGGCAGCTCTTCATCTACATGCAGTCTGTGACCAGCTCTCTGGCCCCCCCAGTGACTGCAGTCTTCATCCTGGGCATCTTCTGGCCACGTGCCAATGAGCAGGTGGGTGGGAAGGACAGGATGCAGGCCAGCAGGCTCAGCTAGGAGACCTCCCGTCCGCCTGCAGATGGGCTAGAGTCCCTTTAGATCTTTGCCGGCTGCCTGGGGCAGGAGGTGGGGGTTTGGTCTTCCTCCCACAAGCCCTGCCTCCCTCCTCCCCAGGGGGCCTTCTGGGGCCTGATGGCAGGGCTGGTGCTGGGTGCTTTGAGACTGGTGCTAGAATTCCTGAACCCAGTGCCCCCCTGTGGTGACCCCGACACGCGGCCAGCCATCCTCAGCAGCATCCACTACCTGCACTTCGCCATTGCCCTGTTTGTGCTCACGGGTGCTGTCGCGGCAGCCGGAAGCCTACTGACCTCACCCCCGCAGACTGTTCAGGTGAGCCTGCCTTGACCCCTGAGCCCCACAGGTCATCCCTGACCTGACGCCTAACAATTTCTGACTCTGGTCCCACTCCGATCCCTGATCCTCACTGACTCCAGAATTTTCTAGCCTTTGATCCCTACCCCTGGATGGCCCTGACCTCTGTGCCTTTTATGGGGGGTAGGGGGACACTTGGAGGGGGCGTTTAACTACTAAGCACATCCCCAGCCCTTTTTATTTTTTTATTTGAGACAGGACCTCACTAAGTTGCTGAGGCTGGCTTTGAACTTGCAATCTTCCTGCCCCAGCCTCCTGAGCCACTGCACCCTGCTCCTCTGTGGCCTTTTTGAACTCGACTTTCATCTTTCTGTCTCTGACCCCTGACTGGCGTGGGGCTTGCCCTTGCCCTGCCACACCTCCATCCCTGCTCATTCCTTGCAGATTGAGAATCTTACCTGGTGGACCCTGGCTCGGGATCTGTCCCTGGCAGCCAAAGCAGGTAAATGGGTGACTCTCAGCACCAAAGCGAGAGGCATGGTGCCTGATGAAGCCTGTGTTGCTCACCTGTCCCTCCTGAAACCCCTCCAGGTGACAGCCAACCACACCAGAAACGAACCTTTTGGGCCCGTGTGTGTGGCTTCAACGCCATCCTGCTCATGTGCGTCAACATCTTCTTTTATGCCTATTTTGCCTGATCCTGCCACCCTAGGTAGGAAGGTGGGGGCCCAGAGTCCTCAGGGCCACCCCCTCTCAAAGTGAACACTGACCCCAGAAGGGGACGGACTCCCCTCATGGCTACCCTGTGCATCAGTGCTCAGTGATTCTCTGGGGCTAGCAAAATAGGTGCCCTGAAAAATTAGGGGGATAAAAGAACATGATATTTCAAAAATAGCACCAAAATAGTCATAATTGGAAAGAAAATGAGATTTCTGATGGACATTCTAATATTGGTTTCATGGTTTTTATTTTGAATACACAGGTCCAGGTTAGGAGCAGTGGGGTTTGCCAGGGTCTTGGGCTTGAAGGGTCTTGGACCAGCCCTGGAGGGAGGGAGAACCCCACCTGCCTACAACACGGGGGGGGGGGGGGCGCCCCCCCCCCAGGGCCCCCCCCTCAGCTTGCTTCCAGGGAATGGAAGGAACCTCCTCTCTTCCTCCCCTGCTCATGGTGCCTCCATCAGCCTAGGATTCAGGGCCTTCCTAAGTCCCACTTCCAATTGTCCTGCTCCCAAAGGTGCCCAGGCTCTGCTTGGGGGCTGCCCATTCCATCTTCATTCAGGCTGGCCCCTACCTAGGCTGCCTGCCAACTCTGGTCCTGTAGGGCATCAAAAAAAACCCAACATCCCATCTGGCCTGCAGGTTGCCCTGCCTTCCCAGAGTGCCAGGGGCCCTGGTCCAGGCAGAACCTGCGCAAACATAATCCCGTGCAGTCCAGGTGTCCCATGTGGCTGGGCCTAGGGCCTGGCTCTTCAGAGCTTGTCTGTGTGCACAAGGCCAACTGAAGAGGACTTACTTCTTTTCTTTTACCTCTTCCAGCTCCTTCCCGTGTCCTCAGGTCCTCTCGCCCCACCCCAAAGCATCTTTGGGGGCTGGATGCCCCAGATGGAGCCCAAAGTCATTTTTTCTGCAAGAAAAGCTCCTGTTTACCTAGTAATCCCAGGTGCTCTGGGCTGAGCCACCTGTATAAATCCAAGTGCCTTTTGAGGGAGGGGTAGACAGACCCAGCAGTGGTCTGCCCGAGGTGAACCCACGCACCAAGCCTAGGGTTCTCTGGGTTGAGCCCCAAGTCTGTGCAACCTAGGAATTGAGCCATTGATAGTAGCATGTGGGTGGGGCCTCCAGAGACCCCGCCCCCTGATGTCACACAACTGGCAGCCAATGGGAAGTCCTCAAGAGCAACCTGGTCTCTAAGCACAGTAGTTAGTTCTGGGGTGCTGGGAGCGTGTCCCAATCTGTATGAAGAGGCACAAGGCAGTTAGGAGGCCAAGTTCAATGCAAGGCTTCCTGCTGAGCCCAATGTGACCTGGAGTGGGGTTGTCCAGGTCCTCTCTCTGGACCCCAGTTCCTGCAAAAAGACCTCTTGGCCGAAGGGGCTGCCGGCTCTGCCGCCACCCATGAGGTCACAGATGCACCGGCTGGACGTAGCTCCGTGGGAAGAAGCCAACACGCCCACAGGACTGGCCCCTCCACCAGTGCGGGTCTGGGCGCTCCAGGATCTCGATGATGTCACCGCGGCGGAAGCTGAGCTGTGAAGGGTCCTGGGCTGAGAAGTCGAACTGGGCCTGGGCAAAGCAGGCCCGGGGCGACTGTGAGGGGAAGAAGAGGTTAGTGGGGTGTTTTTTGAAGCTCTGAGACCCAGCTGTCCTCATGGAGACTCTCCCCAGGAAGGTCCCACATAAGTGAGTGGGCTCTGCAGGCTGGGGCAGCATCCCAGTCGACTACATCCAGATCTTGACTGAAGCCAGATGGGTGACCACCCCACCCAATGGGTGTTCCACTTGGGTCGGACCCCTGATGGCCTGCCTGCTTCACAGACCCTTTGTCAACAAAGACTGACCCAACCTTTCTTTGACCACAGGGCTGGTGGGGGAGGGCAGCTAAGTCCTAGGGTGGAGAGGGTCCCTACCTGCCTTTCTCTGGTCTCATTTCCCCATCTCTACAACAGACACGAAATTTTGATTCCAGCCAGGGGAGGTGTCACACACCTGTAATCCCAGCGGCTTGGAGAGGCTGAGGCAGGAGGATCACGAGTTCAAAGCCAGCCTCAGCAATTTAGCAAAGGCCCTAAGCAACTCAGAGAAACCATGTCTCTAATAAAATACAAAAAAAAAAAAAAAGGCACTGGGGTTGTGACTCAGTGGTTAAGTGCTGGTTCAATTCCCAATACCAAAAAAAAAAGAAAAGAAATTTTGATTCCAGGCATGAAATCACAGGTGGGGCCTTATAAACTGTAAAATGATGTCCAGCTAAGAGTGGTCTTTACTACTATTGCCCTTGGTCAGACTCTGAGGAATATGATTGCCCCTTTAAGCTGTTCCCAGCTCTCAGGTCTGGTTCAGTCCTGCCCTAAATATGACCTTGGGCATATCCCTGTCCTCTGTGGGCCTCATTTCTGGAACAGCAGCAGACAGGAGCTCTCTACATCTTTTTGGTGCCATGATTATGGCATCCAGCACCCTGGCCCTGCCTGTCCCACCAGGATTTCATCTCAGCCTACAGACTCTCATCCAGGATGGGCGATAGGATCAGCAGAGACTCTAATTAACGGTTCTCTGCCCAGAAGGAGGAGGTGTCCTGGGTACCAGGGAACTAAGCCAGCTCTGCACTCACCCCCGGATGGGGTCCAAGCCAGAGCAAGGTTGTGGGGGCTCTGGAGCCTCAGTAGGCTCCTCACCTCCATCCTGCTCCCAAGATAGAGCTGATCCAAGCCGTGAGCAGCAGGGGTATCTGGGAGCAAGAGCCCCAGCTAGAGAGGAGTCCCCGGGCTGGGAGCTCACTGTTGGGCACTCTTCAGGGTCAGGCGGAGAAGCCCTTCAGAGGATGCACTAGTGGGGACCTCCTGAGTCTCTTTGGGGGCATATCAAACCCCAGGGTTCATCCTATTGGGCAGATGGGAAATTGAGGGCTGAGTTGGCCCTCAGGTCACATGGCAAGGCTTTAAGGGGGCTGGGAACTGCAGGACTGGAACTTCTCTGCAGGGCTGGCTCCGTCCCCTCCCCAGGCCCTTCCTATGATCATGCTCTCCATATATTCTGCAGAGCCCAAGTTCAAATGTCCTCATGTCTTGACCTCCTGCTCCAGGCTTTGCCAACACCCCTGTTTCCAAGAAAAACAGCATGTCAGGGCTAATAACCCCGTTGGCTGGTGTTGTCATCCTAATGAGAGTGACAGCTAGTCCTTGGGGCCCCTTGATGAAAGGGCTGGCTGGCAAATTGCTGTTATTGTGAGGACAAGGTGTGATGGACCCACACACACACACACACACCCTGTGCCCAGCCAGGTCCTCGCCCACAAGTGCTCATACTGCCCGACACCCTGTCCAAGGCCACCTCCTCCTTGGGGAGCAAAAACCTGGACTGAGCCTTCCGGGTATGTGGCCTCAGTTTCCTCATGTGTATAATGGGATTGACGCGGTGTGTGGCACTCGGTGGGCTCACTCCATTCATTCGACAAACATTTATTGAGCACCAGCTGTAAGCAGCAGACCATTCTAGGAACTGACAACAAGCCAGACTGCCATTTGTCCCATGGGCTTTACCTGGCGTCCCTCATCTTTCCCCTTTTCCCTATTTGCTTGTTTCAGCTGCCACCAGAATGTCCCTTTGGAACCTGGGTTGCCCCCTCCTCCCGCTGGAGTGGGAAGGGAGGCCAGGCCTGTGTGCTCACATGGTGGGCATCTTCTCTGACACAGATGGCAGGAAGAGCACCCCCCTCCCCCCCCCCCACCCCAATCCGCGCCCCCCCCCCGCCCCCCCCCCCCACCCCCCCCCCAACCCCCTCCCCCTATTCCAACCCCTCCCCTACCCCAACCCCGCCCCCTAACCCTACCCCGCCCCCTACCCCTACCCTGCCCCCTACTCCCTGCCTCCTGCTCCCTACCCCCACCCCACCCCGCCTCCAGACCCCTACCTTGAGAAGCGGCTCCTCATCTCGCAGGAAGATCTGCCGCCTCTTGGCAATAGTGGTGGTGCGGTAGAAGTCAACCAGCTCGTTTAGGGAGTTGAACTTCTCTTCCCACAAGAAGTACTTCCCGGAGGCCTCCCGCAGCACCTTGAAGTGCTGCACCTGGTCCCCGTAGCTAGCAAAGAGGGCCACAGCGGTTTCAGATCCTGACGCCCCCCACCTGCTGCTCAGCACCACCCAGAACCTGGCCTTTCTCATGGAGAGACCTGGAGCCAGGGAAATACAGATGGGGAAGAGCCCAGGAGGCTCCCCGGCAGCGGAATCTGGGGTGAAGGGTGTGGGGCTCTGGACCAAGCCGCTTTCTTGCTGAGTCTTTAGGCTAGTCCTGAACTTCTCTGAACCTCACTTTCCTCTTAGTGATAGCACTTCACTTCGGGTAAGTGAGCAAAAAATGCTGTGGTTTATTGGCAACATTAAATGGGCTACCTCTGAGTGCATCCAGAACAGATAATCTCTCTCACACCTCTTCACTATCCCCCACAGATGTGACATTCTCCTCCCTCCCTTGCCCATTCCAAATCCCTGCGGTCCCTTGAGGAGTGAATCCTAAGATCATCCCCACTCAGAACAAAGCCTACTAATAGGAGAGGATCTCAGGTATACTGGATGCTTTTTGTCCCTCTCCCTCTCCCAAGAACCTTCCTCATTTCCCTCAGGATTAAGTCTTAGCACCTTCAGACTAAAGATCTGGCTCTGGTTACATAGCCAGTCTCATTTCCTTCATTTCTTCTATGATGCAGCCAATGGGCTCCTTTCTCACCTTCAAGTCTCCCAGCCCACTACTGGGTCCCTTCCAGCCCAGCTGGGCAGATACCCTGTCCTCCAAACTGTCAGAAGGACACAGCCATCTGGCAGTGACAGGGCAGAGGGACCTGCCCCAAGCCTCCTACACTTGGCACATCTGTACTCCAGGATGGGCCGCGCAGGGCCGGGACTGAGGTTGGTGCTGACGTGGGTTGTGATTCCCTTCCGAAATGCAGGGTCAGAGCAGGGCCTGCCTCACTACCCAGGAGGTGGGGGGGTCAGGCCCTTTGCACAATGGGGAAACGGAGGCCCCAAGTTCAGTGCTACAGAGCGAGGAAGGCCAGGGCTGGGGCCACGTCTGAGCTCACACTGGCTCCAACGTGCTTCCTGATTGATTAGCATCACAGAACAATAGCAATCATTATTCCAATTATGATATTAATAATGTCCTAGATAGAAGAATTCCCAGTCCAATTCTGCTGTGCCATGTTGCTCCCTGGGCTGTGCCCCCCAGAGGCAGGCCCGCCCTCCCTCGTTCTCTCTGCCAGGCCAAACCTGAACTGTCCCTCCCTGGCCTCGACAGCTGCTCTGTGGACCATGATGTCCTCCCCTACCAAACCTAGATCCTAGCCACACACCTCACAGGGGAGGGGAGGGTAGCCTGGGACCAGGGCCAGGCAAGGCCACTGCCATGGCTGTCCTGGGCCCATGTGACCCAGCTGGGGGCTGGAGAGAAAACCCAGAACAGCTTTGCTCCCAACCAGGGGAAGGCCGGAGGGCAGGTGTGCTGTGCAGGTGGCTGGTGTGGTTGAGAGCTGGGGGTGCTGGGACAAGGCCACTTGGGGATGCGCAGTATGGCCACTTTGAGGGAGTTGACCCCTCTGCCTCCTGAGCCATGGGCTGCGCCTTGTTTCGTTCCCATTTGGGGCTAAAATGAGTGAGATCCAACTCTCAGCACAGAGACTTGATGGTTAAAACACAATGCCTCCTGGGTTCTGAATTACAATTCTGCTAAACAATCCAGATGCACTGCGTTTATAAGATGGGGTTCTCTCCTTCAGGCCTACAGTCTTCCTGGGCCTGAGTGCGGTGTCCCTCAGCTACCCGGACCCGTGCTCGCTCAGTCCTGCCCTTGCCTTCTGTTCAGTAGCTACACCTCTCAGCCCTGGGGCCCGTGTGCTGCTTTGTTACAAGTTTAAGAGGAAAGATTTGAGATTAAAAATGGAGGCCTGTGGGGATAGCTTAGTGGTAGGGCACTTGCCTCTCATGTATGAGGCCCTGGGTTCAATCCCAGCACCACAGGGAGAAGGAGAAGACAGAGATGCTTTTCAGGTACCCTCGGATTCCCGCCACCTGGCCAGAGTCAAGAGGAGGACCCTCTCAGCACCTCCAGACCTTTGCTCAGAACCCCTCGTGAGTCGGGAGGTTCCTCAGGTCCCTAAGTGCCTCCTGCAGCCTTTTTGTGACACACTGTTCACGATGGCTTGCACACTGGGCTCTGAAAGGGCAGGGAGGCAGAGTAGGCCCTGGGGTCCCTTCTAGGTGGAACTCTGGGAATGGAGCATCCCTACCTAAGTTTCATTCCTCAAGAGTGCTAAGACAGGATCTTAAAGAGAGAGAAAAAAAGGCCATTTTCCACCCCCCAAAATGAGCCACATCAGGTGTTTGACCAATGGATACTGCTGCTGACTAGAGAAGAGGAAAAAACAACAAACAAACAAACAAAAAAAACAAGACAAGGTCTCACTAAATTGCACAGGCCGGCCTCAAGCTCTGGATCCTCCAGCCTCAGCCTCCCAGGTTGCTGGGATCACAGGCATGGGCCACCGTGCCCAGCAGAAGACATTTTTCTTCAAACCTGCTTCTGGAGGTTCTGAAC